CATAATAACTCCTTTCTTTGTACAGCGCTTTACAGTTTGCAGAGTGCTTTCACATACTATTTCTCTCCTGATCCTCAAATTGACCTATAAGGCATCCCGGGCAGGTGTTACTTCCCCAACTGACAGATGAAGAAACAGTAATTTAGCAAACATCACCTAATCAAGGGTGATCTGGGACAGACTTCTCAGTCCTCACCTCAGAAGCTGATGAGTTTGGAGGATTTTTTTTTTCTGGTGGTCTGATCATGAAGTAAGAAAGCAGTGTGCTTCTTCATGGTGCAGGAGTTGCCAGACAGGCCCCCAGGCCCTGGGGCTCCCGGAAGGGGAGGTGACTGGAGCCGGGCTCCTTCTTCCTCAGCATCATCCCTAGAAACCCCACCTTTCAGCCCTAGGGGAGAACTGGTTGGCTGTGGGGAAGAAAGAGCCTTGCCTGGAACGTGGGGCATCTGTGTGACTCTGCGGTGGGCCGGGGAGGAGCAAGAGAGAGCCGAGGGGTGAGGCCGGCTGGAGTGCAGCCGGCCTGGGCTGGGAGCCAGCCTGGAAGAAGAGAGGCCATTTCTAGGAACCACAAACTGCTGCGGCTGCTGATGTGGCAGGAAAGGCACATCTGGCAAAGTATAATTATCAGTGGCTCGTTGGTCTAGGGGTATGATTCTCGCTTAGGGTGCGAGAGGTCCCGGGTTCAAATCCCGGACGAGCCCTCCTTTTTAAAATTTTTTCTCTTTTTCTGTCCCCCTTTCCTTGCCACACATGTTACACTGCCTGCCCTTTTAAAAGTAGAAGCAGAGATGGCCCAGTGGTGACTGAATAAAGGGACCCTGAGGACAAGCTACCAGTCAGTCTCCCCATTAGCCATGTATATACCACTGAGGCCAAACGGAGCAGGAGGGAATTGATATAGCTCCAGGCGCTGAATCCAGAGCCAAAGTGTTGCCTCATGTTAGGCAGAAAGCCTCTCAGAGAGCCTCAGGTCAAGAGTAAGTGATCAGGACAATTTGGGAGGTGGGCCTGAGCTAGAGGTCAAGATAAGGCCAGCTCTCTATGTAAAACCCAAGCTATGAAATGCATCGGCTTCAAAGTCCAAAAGCTAGGATTAAAGTTACAATTCTGAATCTCAGCTTTCCTCTTAGTAAAATGGGAACAATAATACTCATTTCTCAGAGTTGGGAGGATTAAATCAGAAATTACATGTAAAAACCCTTTGCAAACTATAATGTACTGTTAGGAATACTACTAAAGATAAAAAGGATTTAGAGAGGAAATTCTGGCAACATGACAGACTGAACTAATGTAGTTCTCTCTTCACCCAGTGTCCCCTAAAACGCAGAGAAATACTGCATAAAACAGAATTTAAAAATTAAAATATGAACAACTGCAAAATTGGTTTTAAAAGGGAAATTCCCAGATATCAGAATTTAAGGACTACAAAACAAGGAGGAGGAGGAGGAGGAGGGAGAGAAGAAGAAAGGGAAAGGGCTAACACAGTGGCCCATGGTTCATTTCAGACGCAGATCACAGATATATCCCAGGGACCTGGAGATGCATTTTAATGGTTTCAGATATAGGATATGTGGCCTCAGCCCACCTGAGACAAGGAGCTGGGACTGAATATCCTGCATAAATCTCAGAACATCAAAGGTCTACCTTGTCCATAGAAAGAAGACTAAAAATGATATACACCAGCCCAAGGAAGCAGAGAAAAGGGATAGAAATACAAGTCTTTCTATAAACTGTTTTTGCTAAAAAGAATTTAGCTGCCAATTGTTATCTTTGTAGGCAAACAAGCTTTTTTTTTCTGGTTGGTTGCTTTTAAGATTTTTCTCTTTCTCTTCAATATTTTGCAGTGTGTTTATAAGTTCAGTTCTAAACCCGAGGACTGTATTTTTCTTCCGTTTTGGAAAATACGTAATCATTATCTATTGGAATATTACATTTCCCTCATTCTCTGTCTCTTTCAGGAATATGTGTACAATATAACACCATTTAGATATATTTTTTAAAACACGCAAATCAGGATTCTCTGTTGTTTGTGGATACATGTATTTAAGTAAAACTGTAAAACCATAAATAGAAGGGCTATCTCGGGTTATTTCTTAATTAAATGGGACAAGAAATGAACAGTTACTGGATTTCAATGGTGAGTACATGGATATTCATTATGTTATTCTCTGCACTGTAGTTTTGCATATTTAAAAGTTTCCCTTTTTTTCTTTTTAATGAAAGAATCTAGGTATTTAGAAATAAGGGTAAAGGGGGATAAATGGCTGCATCAATCCTCAGAGAGGATGATCTGCTGGGATGAGATTAGGAGGGAGGCTGAGTCCTGGGTCCAGGGATTACAAGGATTAATTTAGATCATGCCCCTAAGCTGATCACCTGGCTAGCATCCCCGCCACTCCTAGCCCTTCAGAGATGCATCCCTGGACCATTCCACTTCCCCCCATACCTGCTAAGCCCTTTCCTCCTGCCTACTATCTTCACTCCCACCCCTAAACTAGTACTAGTCTGGCCAGAGTTTGCCCAAATTTGGGTCCTGAGAATAGACTGATTCAGGCCTTCCCTGAATGCTCCCCAAATCAAGGATGAATGTTGACCTGCACCCCTGGAGCCAGGGAGAGATTAGTCCTAATACTCAGGATCAGAGCTCCCTGAGGAGAGATTGAACCCTTGGATGTTACAGTTGACAACTTCCTCCCCTATCCCTCCCTCCATTAGCCAAGAGGTGAGCAGTCAAGGTCAACTACTAACTGACCCTGCTGGCTCAGCCAGAACCAGAAGGAGTGGTGTTGGGGCTGAACAGTCACTCTGCTTCCAGCATTAGGCTTAGTCATTCCCCGGAACCCTAAGCCCTCCACTTTCCCAGTGCTGGCCCCTTTCCATCATCCCTGACAATTGCCCTGCTCCCCACGTCTGGACAGGCCTGAAGTCTGTAGCAGACACTCTGGAAGTGGTCTCCGTGGGCTTGCTCAGCCTTTCCCCACAGCTGGATCGCCTTAACCACAGGGTATGGAGTGGAGCCCTGTCCCCGGGGGAGCAAATGAAACATCTTGGTCTGTGCTCACCAGTGCTCAGAGCACATACTGGGCTAGGGGTATGAGAGGGAGGAAGAAGAGAGGTAGAGAGGGACAGGTTTATAGGCAACAATACTGTTAACAGGTAACACTGAACTCCTTAAATGTAAAATCATATGTAAAATGATGAGCAGAGCATTAACTGTATAGTTGGGAGATTTACCTTTACTCATTTATTCTATGTGTCAGGCAATTTGTCAAATGCTGGAGATACAAAAATGACTAAGATAACTTCCCAGTCTTCAAGAAACTGGGCAGACAGAAAAGTAGAAACCTGACCTTGACAACCCACAGTGACTGGCGCTGCCCTAGAGGGAAGGAGGACAGGGCAGAGAACAGGAAGGCCATCTAATGGGGTCAGAGTGCGGCGTCAGGAACCGCTCCTAGAGATGACTCCCAACTGAGTGTTGAAGGATAAGCAGGGGATGTCCAGGCAAAGAAGGGCTTCTCTCCTGAGGAATATGGAGAGCTTGTGAATCTGGGAGCCTGTATGAGTGACACAGACAGTATTTGCTCATGGTCTTGTGCATGGATGTGCAAGAGAAGGGACTGGTGTGTGTCTCTGGCTTAGGAATCTCCCAATGCTTTTCTGGATGTGCTGGGACGCTCCGGTTCCCAAGTGTACCCATTTCTTTCCTGGCTGCAGAGATGTGAGAACAGTAGCTTCGTCAAGATTGGGCACCCTGTAGACGTTCCTTGAATGAATGATTAAGTGACATAAGCTCTCTGGGCTTTTACATCTCCCTTCCATGAGAGTGAAAATCAGCAATGTCCACTATCAGCATGCTACAGGGGCAGGGTGAGTGGGGGTCGCGTCTCGCAGCCCACCGGGCGCGGGGCCAGGTGGGAAGGCAGGCGGTGGAGAAAGGAGGTCTTTGGATACTAAGGGGATACTAAGGACTGCGTTGGGCCACGGAATGGCCACTCCTAAGAGGGTCTCTGCTTCTGGCTTGGTGGGGGCGCCGGGAGAGCAAATGGATCAGGGCCTCACAGTTCGCATATCCTGGCCTCGGCTTCCCTCCTCCAGCCCTCAGGCAGCTCTGAGGCTGGGGCCCGCAGCCGCTGGTCCATGCTGACTGCCGAGATTGGGGTCGCCGCCCTGCTGCGTGAGGAGCAAAGGAAGTGTGAGCGTCTGCAGATTTGGAGGAAACAGGCTGGGAGGATTTGTCCATCTTTGTGCCTTTCCTCCCCCATCCCC